TAATGTCTTTGTAACCCGCCCAGAGTCCCCTATTGTAGGGGAGATGGGCGGGAGAGAAATCTACTAAATAAAATAAATAAAAATAAATAAAATAAATATGTTAAACGCAACCTGGGGAGCGTTGGAAAAACAAGACTGGGGCTATTTTTTTTCCAAGGAGAAGTTGTTAGTTTCTTGTCCCTGGACTGCAGGCTGGGCAGTGAGAAACAGGCCAACCGGAAATACGCACGTGGGAAAAAGGAACAGGTTTACCTTCCAGAACATGAAGCTAACTGGGTCCACCACTGTCGGCTGTATGATCTCTCTGCCTGGGAAGATACCCCACGTCACGGCGTTTGGCTGCATCTCATGAGCGTTGGTGACGTTTTCCCCCTGCCAAAAGGAACAGGAAAGGGTCATTGAAGAAGAGCGAAAAGCCCGTGCGTTTATTTCCACAGCTCAATGCCACAGGGGGCTGTAGGATCACCCAACTATTCTTTTTCTCTCTGCTCCTAGGCAGGTAGAGCTCAGCTGATTTTGTTCTCTGACGCCCATGTCTCAGCATCCTTCTGCTGACAAATTCCAGAATACCTTGACGTTGACGATGTGGTAATTCACCCGCTGCCCATACTTTTTGAGGACTGTCAGAAGAGCCTTGATGTTCTCGGCGGAGGCGAAGAACTCCAAGTAGGCCTGCAAGGGGTGAGAGAGGAGAATAGGGCAGCCATTTCTTGGCCACAAGAGCGGGTCGTGAGGAGTCAAGGCGGACTCGAAGGTACCAAAAAAAGAACAAGAACCAAACTGATCGAGGACGTTACCTTCTGGAAGACGTAACCCCCCTCAGGTCCCCATCCCACGATAGGGTCTGTAGAAGGCTTTCCGTTGATATTAGGTTGGGAGTTGATGGTCAAGATGCCTCTCCTGTTCACTCTGACTAGCTCTTCTTTCATGAGGTTGGTCTCGGCCGCCAAGGGGTCATCGTTCCATGGCAAACATGTCACCTTGAGGAAGAAGACGGTGGGTCAAGGCTGTAGAAGGAAGACTAGACCAGAGCACCCAACTTTGGCTTGGTCTTCTCATTGACAAGCATCCAACATCCAACTTCCTTCTTTTTTTTCTTTCACCAGGCAAGGTCCGTGTTCCCCCCGAGTTCTCACCTTGTGCCCATTTCTGTTGCATTCCCCAGCGATGTAGCACCTGAAGACTTCATAGACGCTGTCTTCGCTGGTCAGCTCTTCTCCCCACATCTTCAGAAGTTCTTCTCGAGGGGATTTGCTCTTCAAGTAGAAAAGGTAATAGTCTTTCAGCTCCCCGAAGGCTGGGGAGGAAGAGTTCCCCCTGAAGGTTGGGGAGAGAATTGGCGGGTCAGGGAAGAGAAAGAAGAACCCAAAGAGGAATTTCTCTGCTTTGTTTGATTGTTACCGGACAGCATTTAAATTAACATTTAAATTGAGAGCACGGGAGGTCTGTGGACTTTTTAAGCAGCCTTGAAGTCCAGAATTAGTAGAAAGCTGGGTAATATATAACATATTAAAATTTTATATATAATATATACAAAACCAGAATCTGATAACCAAATCCTCTCCATTCCACAAGAAGCCTAAAGTTAATTTCCCTTGATTGATTGATTGATTGATTGATTGATTGGATTTCTCCCCCACCCATCTCCCCCCAATGGGGGACTCTATTTTAGCACTACTGTTCTCCTATCCAACCTATTTCTTTTTCCATCAACAGGCCCCATTGCCAGAGCATCACACTCACCATCGGCCGTTGGGGAATTCGTCCCACTCCTGCGTTCGATAGATGTAGCTCTTTGGCCGAGAGGCCCAGAAAATAGGCCGGACGTCTTCAACTCGCCGTTTGGGGTGAGCGCTGACCGCCCACGGTAAGGGACGCCTGGTGTAGAGAAGTGGGGCAGGAAACATTAAAACGGTTCAAAACCTTTATCCAACATTCAACGGTCTTCTTGAGGTAGTTCACCCTGATGCCACAAACTGTTACGGAGAAGGGAGTCCCGTCCTGAACCACAGTTTATTGGGAAATGAGTAAGTCTAGCTAGTCTCAGGAAAAGGGGTTTGGAAATCTTGGGTTCGGTTTTCCTGAACTGGTATTTTGCACCATCCAACTCCTCTGTCAACTGGAGTTTGTTTAAAGCAAGCAGATTTCAAACTCACCCTAAAGGGGAAATGAGGTCAAGATTCTTACGCAATGACTCTTCTCAGCAGCCAAGAGCAGACTCCTAAAATGGCTTCGGCTCAGTGGAATGTGCCAATCCAGCTGTTGCAGTGGTTAAACCACGATAGATGGCTCAGCGTGCATTATACGTCAGATCACTGTGGCTTATTCACCCAGCCAAGCCTGAACCCCATGAAGCCATCCCATGTGGGGTACCCCTATTCTGAACGGACCCACCTTGGATCTTCATTCCAGAGGCCCAACTGTTTGAGGATCTCCACGGTGGCCACCTCCCGGTTCAGGGTGTAGAAATGCAGACCGTGGACCAGACCGCTGTCCAGTAGTTCCCGGCACATCTTGACCGCCAGTTCAATGCCATAGTTCCTGATGGCCGCGTCGTTGTCCTTGATGGGTTCAATGACGTCCTTAATTTCCTGAGGCACCACTAGTTTTGAGAGTTTCACGAGCTGGCGCAGAGAATGATACCCCTGAAGGAAGAAAAGCCAAGGTGGGGCTGGGGTCTTCGTGAAAAGTCGGGCCGCTTATTGGCCAAACTGTGGGTCTGCGTGTGCCCGCGCCTTAGAGTGAGTCCCTGCAATTTCTTCACCACGTTTTTGGGAAGCGCTTTGCCAGTCTTCTTCCAAGGGCTGACTGGCCCCAAGCTGGTTTCATGCCCAGGGCAGGACTACAACTCATGGCCTCCTGGTTTCTAGCCTGGAGCCTTTACCCGTGGCCCTTCGGCCTGCCCAAAGGCTAAGCAAGGAGGTGGCATTATAATCGCTCTTTTATCATAATCACTGTAAGGTGCCTTTCTTTATTCAGGCATTTCAGCCATGCGCTGTTACTTCAAGACAAGCGGCATGAGGAAGTGAAACTTGAGAAGTGGGGGAGCCTCAATTAGTTCTTCCTTAGACCCAGAAGCCATGAGAACCCATAGACACGTGCCTATGGGACACGTGAACAAACCCACTTTCAGCCTGACCTGTATGGGGAATATTCCTGGCACCACGGGGCAGGTGATGCCAACGGACTGGCAGTCCCTCAGAAACTTGAGGAAGGTCTCCGACCGGAAGAAGAGCTGCGTGATGACAAAGTCAGCCCCTGCTGACACCTTCTCCTTCAGATGCTTCAAGTCCTCTGCGTAGCTCTCGGCCTCGGGGTGGCCCCCAGGATAACCTCCAGAAGAGAATCAAGAGAGCTTCAGGCTGGTTTTGCCCTCGTTTTAAGCAAAATATCGCCCGCGCAATTCACAGCCCGGTTGACCGTTACAGATTCAGGACAAACAAGCTTGTGGGTCGTGCCCTTTAGTCCCTTGCGCTCTGCAGCTAGAAGCAGAGACCCTGCAGCTGGGGGCAGTTTTCCTGGCCAGGTTTGATCTCGAATCCTGCCCTCGCCTCCCAGAAAAGGATCCAGGAGAAGGGGGTGGGTTTCTGGATGAAACTTCAAAGCTTGCGTGAAATTCCACGAATCTACCTCTAAAATCTCGTCGGTTGAGCAACTAGTTCTCTGAGCGAGTCAAAAAAACCCAGGAGGGACGTGGAGACGTGGTGTGTGTCATCGGGTAGGTAACAAAAGATGTGTTTTTCTCCCTTCCGTTGCCTTCAGGACAACGGCATGAGGAAGTGAAACTTGAGAAGTGGGGGAACCTGAATTGGTTCTTCCTTAGACCCAGAAGCCCGCTGGGTCATCTTAGGCCAGGTCCTCTCCCTCAGCCCTAGGAAGAAGGCAGTGGCCGGCCAGTTCTGAAAATGTTGCCCAGACAACTGCAGGGACTAGGCCAGGCAGCGACTAGGAGTCCAGACTGACCTCCAGGAGCACCACCGCTGGCTAGAAAACCATTGGTGGCCTCTGGAGTCACCACTTTGGACCATCATGAGAGCCTCGCACGATAGGGTGAGCTCACACGCTCACCTGCCACGCAGATGTCGAAGTGATCGTCAAACTCATGGCGGATGTGCTTCACCAGGTCCACTGCGTAGTTGAACCCCTCCAGCTCTTCTTCCCATTCTTCACCAACAGGATCTGCAGGAGGAGGAGACCCCATTCTTAAGAAAACACAATCCGGGGCTGTGCCATTCTTCCCCAGGGTTGGGCTCTCTTTAGCTGTCCCTCACCTCCTCGAAGGGCCATGATGTTCTTGAGTCCCAAACTTTTAGCCTTCTGCAGGTGTGTGGTGATGGTTCCCCGGCTTTGGTTACAGCAGGTCATGTGGAGAATGGTCTCCAGCCCGCAGTAGTTGAGCGCCGTGCTGGCCATCACCATGGATGAAGTCTCCTTATCTGAGCCCGGATCGCCCGCCGGATGCCAAGTGACATCGATGAAAAGGGGGCCGCCTGCCCCCATGCGGTCGAACCTGCAAGAACCAAAGGAAACCGGCTTTCTCCAGCTGGCGCGACGTCAGAAGGCAACCCAACAGAAGTTGCAGAAGAAGAGTAAGGACCGTTAGAGGGGCGCCCAGGCTGACATGGGGGTTGGACGTTGGCCCTTGTTAGTCATGGTGCGAACAGGACACTGCATTAGTGTCTCACCAATGGGAAGAGCATGCTATGCAGTTGTGTTCCATTAACCCAGATTCAGGGTTTATTGGGGTGAGCCAACCAAGCCCCCGTGTAGCAGGAGGTGGGCAGGTGTGGGGGAAGGAGACCCCAAAGGCCTAGTGGAAATTAACGTCGAACCAATGTTCGACTCCCGTTGGAACTTGGCTATCAAATCTTGAGTTGACAGCCAACTTCCAACAAGAGCAGGAGATCAGTTCTTCAATCAGAAGAGGGGATTAAATGAATCTGCTGATCCTGCGTGTGTTGCTTCAGAGGTGTTGGGGGGATAAACGGACTTTGACGTTCATGACTTCACCTGGAGATGAGGTTGACTGCCCCGCTGGCGGTCCGGGGAGGGAAAAACTCCAGGGAAAACCACTTGTCTCCAGATTCCCGTCGGCGGCGCATTTTCTCCCGCAGGCGGTCGTGACGCTCCGTGTCCACGGGAGTGGAGCACCGGGAACTGTTTTGGGAGCTCTCGCCGCTGCTGTTGCCCTCAGATCTGGGGCCGCCGACGCCGTTGCTCAGAGGAGGAAACCCGTCGTAAGACTCGTTGACCATGGTGAAGGCCCTAGAGACACGAGGAGAGGACACAGAGCCTGGTGGCAACCGCCTGCCACAACTTGCAAGCTAGCTTTTATTCTTAGCATGAAGAACGTCTCTCCAGCCTTCCTCCAAACGGGTTTTTCTAGTGAGATGTTCATAAGAGCTGGTAAGAATCGCTGCGTGCGGCACCCTTAATTTTCCACCGTGAAAACGACTGGAAATGGGCAGGAAAGTGGGCACAACTTCTCCAGGCCCCCACGAAGGAAGGTGTGGGGTGGCCCTGTTTTGCAGATCAGGGGAGCTAAACGTGGCACGGTTGTTCTATTATCAGCGCTCAGCTGATCATCAGCAGGGAAATCCACGTTGCTGCCACGCAAACATGCCGTGATGGGATCAGTTCCCCAGCCCCGGTCAACAGCAGAACGAAAGAAAAACACGGAGGAGAGGGAAGGGGGTGGGGGTTGTATCCCAGACCGAGAAGGCTGGGAGGAGCAGATGAAATTTAACAAGAAATTCCAGCTGCGATTCCTTGGCATTGCTCGGCAGCTGGAATTCTTAACCAAAGAATTAAGAACAAACAGAGACTTTTCTCCTCCGCCGGCCAAGCTAAGCCATGACCGGGAAGGTGGAACCGTGCAAATTGTGCACTCCACCAGTTCCAATCGGGGAGGGGGGCTTGGCTACTTTTCGGGGTGCCCTCAGAGGCAAGGAGGAGGGGGAATTAGCAGAGGAGGAGGTCGAGGGGGGCAGTGAGAGAGAGGACGATCAACTCACCTGGTGTTGGCGGTATCCTTCTGGGCAATTTTCCACCGGTGTCTGGAGTCTCTCTCCAGTTTAGTAGACTTACTCAGGCGCTCCAGTTTGTTTGCTCCGGGCGCTCACGTGCCAAGCTCACCGAGGCATTTGCTCGGTGGATTTGACCCAGCTGGCTAGACCCGCGCAGTCGGCCCCGTCCAAAATGGATCCTGGCCAGCGGTCTTTGCCTCCAGCGAGGAATGCAAACTGCAACGCCCGGAGAAGTCACTCCTGGGCTTGGTGCGCGTGTCGTTGTCAAGGCAGTTCCTCCCACGGGACCGGCAGGCACCCCCTTATCTAAGCATCCTCGCCAATCAGTGCCCGGCTCCTCTACCAATGGGGAGCAGGGTTCCGGAGAGGCAGCCAGCCCCTTGCCCTGTTTACTGGCGGGCAGAGCTTTGCTAAGCTGGTCTTCAGGGCGAGATTATTTCTTGGAC